CCAGCCCTCCAGCCCCCCCGGCCGGGGCCACGGGCCTGGCATCTGCAGAGTAGGCGCCTCGTTCCCCTGGGTCCACGGAGCAGAGGCCGAGTTGGGTCTGAGCGCAGGCAGAACCTTCGGGCACAGGCGCCTGTCCGGGTAGTTCGTCCTCAGCCCCCGGAGTGGCTGCCGGAACCCGCACTCCCCACTTCTCCGTAACGGGGAGCACGTTCTCTCTACCACACGCTGCTCCGCAAACCGGGTCAGAACCCGGACCCCGACTTCTGTTTAGAGTCCAAGGCTCCTGGGGGAGGTGGTCCGATTGGCAGGACACACTCCCAGGCGAGTTGGTCTTCATTCGCCTGCATCACCAACGTTCAGGGTTAGCTCACACACTGAGCGGGGACGTCGCCCTCGACCGTCCTGGAAACATCCGGGTTGGCGGGAACCGGGGGGAGCTCTGTGTATTTCTCAGATGCTCGTGTATCAGCACCTCCCCCTGCGCTCACACACGGCAGAGCGTTCATCCCGGGAAGACATGCTGCCTGTGGAGGTTTCATGAAGGTCTCATTAAAAAATGCCAAAGCTGGTTTATCCCTCATCCCGCCTCCGAGCCCTGATGGAAAGAAAATGAGGAGATTTGGGCCGGTTTTGCCAAAAATGCCCAATGGAGCCGGGGCCGGCGTGGCTGAGAATTGCAGGTGCATTGAGGCCCGTCCCCCTCGGTCTGTGCCACCCTGTCTTCCACGGCCCAGGAGCCTCCGGGAGGGAGGGGCCTGCCACCCGCCTGACTGTCCCTCCGTCTTTGCTCGCGTCCCATAGGGGCGTCTGTCCTGTGTAGAGCATGCGGCGCGGCCTGCGCTTGTGCACGTGGTGTATCGGACACATGATGTGTGGGGCACGCGGTGGCGACGCGGAACCACGCCATGCTTGTCCCCGAAACGTGTGCCACCAGCACTGTGATGTATAGGGGAGCCTCGGTCCTTCTGTGTGTGTGCACTTCTGAGTCCTACGGACCGAGTGTGATTTGTGATCTCAATTCATATTTGCAATCTATGGCGTCTTACGTGGTGTGTCCCCTTCGGAAGGGATTTCTTTTTAAAGATATTTTGGCTGGAATACAGGTTCCTTTTGTAAATCCTGTCTGCTGTGTCTTTTGTTCTTTGTGGATGGCTGGCCTGGAGGCAGAAGTGGTGAGTGCAGGAGGGGGACAGACATGGTGGGCAGGGCTTAAACCTGGGGGGCAGGGCCTCAGACCTGGTAGGCGGGCCCTTAGACCTGGTGGGCGGGGCTCAAACCTGGTGGGCGAGGCCTTAGACCTGTTGGGATTGGGCCTTAGACCTGTTGGGTGGAGCCTTAGCCCTGGGGGGACTGGGTGGGGTGGGGCTTTACACCTGGCAGAGCAGGGGCGGGGGATGGGGCTGAGGGATGGGGATGCGGGATGGGGCTGAGGGATGGGGATGCGGGATGGGGCTGAGGGATGGGGATGCGGGATGGGGCTGAGGGATGGGGATGCGGGATGGGGCTGAGGGATGGGGATGCGGGATGGGGCTGAGGGATGGGGATGCGGGATGGGGCTGAGGGATGGGGATGCGGGATGGGGCTGAGGGATGGGGATGCGGGATGGGGCTGAGGGATGGGGATGCGGGATGGGGCTGAGGGATGGGGATGCGGGATGGGGCTGAGGGATGGGGATGCGGGATGGGGCTGAGGGATGGGGATGCGGGATGGGGCTGAGGGATGGGGATGCGGGATGGGGCTGAGGGATGGGGATGCGGGATGGGGCTGAGGGATGGGGATGCGGGATGGGGCTGAGGGATGGGGATGCGGGATGGGGCTGAGGGATGGGGATGCGGGATGGGGCTGAGGGATGGGGATGCGGGATGGGGCTGAGGGATGGGGATGCGGGATGGGGCTGAGGGATGGGGATGCGGGATGGGGCTGAGGGATGGGGATGCGGGATGGGGCTGAGGGATGGGGATGCGGGATGGGGCTGAGGGATGGGGATGCGGGATGGGGCTGAGGGATGGGGATGCGGGATGGGGCTGAGGGATGGGGAT